GAGGGACCTTAGGCATTCCATGCTAAACTTCAGCCTAGAGCTTCTGCCACAGACAGACCCCTCCCCATCCTTTTTCTTTGGTTGAGCCCCTTGTATCCCTAAATTTATTTTTATTCAGGTTCCCTCTAGCCTATGAATAGTAACCATTCTGGATTCTGATGGGCCCCAGGGTTTGAGTTCCCTAGTCCTACTCCAAGTTGATGTTCTCCAAAAATTTCATGAGCAGAGTGTTAGTCATCATTAAAAAGAAATAAACGATACCGATCTACAATTGACCCTTTCCAGATCACCAAAGCCTGCGTGCCAGTCCTCTTGGGTTTCATTGTTTTGTTTGTTTTATTTTGTTTTTTCTTAATCAGTACTAGAGATTTTCCCTACTTATCTGTGAGGCAAGGCCCCGGACTCCAAAGTGTACAGAACATTCCTTGTATGGCAAATATCCCTGCGGTTGTAACATTCTCTCTTTGAATGAGAAAACAAGAATCTTTAACGAGTGCCAATTGCAGAGGCTAAATAATGCCAAGTGTAGGAGGAGGTAGGAAGGAAGGAAGGAAGGGAGGGAGTGGGCTGAGACAGGTCTCCAACATGTACAGTCATCAATTCATTCTTTGTATCACTAGGTACTGAAGAGAGATTTAAATGACCCAGGTTTAAACCCCAATTCTCAATGACACTCCTTTCTAATAAATATCCCGATTTTGAAGATTATTCATTTAGTATATTGATATATAACTAACAGATCTAGCAATTTAACACTAGCAATTGAATACCACTAATTTACACACTCTGAGGCTGTGGCAGTTCAGTTGCCGCATTCTTATCTTCCACGTGGGAGATCTGGGTTCGATTCCCAGCCAGTGCACCTCATGCACAGCCACCACCCATCTGTCCATGGAGGCTGTGTGCCGCCCTGATGCTGAACAGGTTTCAGTGGAGCTTCTAGACTAAGACTGACTAGGAAGAAAGGCCTAGAGATCTACTTCTGAAAAATCAGCCAATGAAAACCCTATGGCTCATAATGGTCTGACCCCATTGTGCACGGAGTCACCATGAGTCAGGGGCCAATCCGAAGGCAGCAGTGGTCAAGTGTTTGGGGGCTAACCAAAAGGTCGGCAGTTTGAATCTACCAGCTGCTCCTTGGAAACCCTGTGGGGCAGTTCTACTCTGCCCTATAGGGTCACTATGAGTCCCAATCGGGTTTTTTTTTTTTTTTTTAACAACAACAAACATACACATTCTACTAGTCTATGTGAACAACACTGGTCTTATAGGAAGGGACAGCTTCATGTTAACCCTGCCCCGGCATTCAGTGGTCAGGGGAGTTCTCTCTCCACACACATAAGAGCTAGACACACCTAGCTTCTTACATTTCCCAGTCACGCCATGAGTATTAAAGCCCTTACTAAGTAGGTGAGCTCCCCAATCAGAAATGTCCATCCCTTCCTTGTTCATGATAGAACTCCTCCTTCAAGGCCTTCTCTCTGAAGCTCTGTGAGATTTAACTGGTCCGTCCTCAGGATTCCTAGACCTCAGGAGAAATTATACCTCAGTTTAATTCTAACTGTATAATTGTTGTTATTAGTTGCCATTGAGTGAGCTCCAACTCAGTTCTACCCTGTGTACAAGAGAAAAAAATGTTGCCCAGTTTTGCGCTATCTTCACAATTGTTGGTATGCTCAAGTCCTTTGTTGTGGCCACTGTTTATTCTGAATGCCTTCCAACCTAGGGGGCTCATTTTCCAGCACTATATTGACAATATTCTGTTGTGATCTATAAGGTTTTCCTTAGCTAATTTCCGGAAGTAGATCACCAGACTTTTCTTCCTAGTCTGTCTTAGTCTGGAAGCTCTGCTGAAACCTGCCCACCATGGGTGATCCTGCTGGTGTTTGAAATATCAGTGGCATAGCTTCCAGCATCATAGCAACACACAAGCCACCACAGTACGACAAGCTGACCAACAGGTGGTAGCTGCTTCCAACACATTACTTAAAACCCCCAGGGGTCTCTTCTCTAAACTATCCCCAAATTACCCCCATCCCAGCCCATCTATGCTTTCACCAATCTTGGCAGTTAAGAAATCTGATTTTCAAGAAGCTTTCACAGAATAAGATTATACTGCCTAACAGTCTCCAAAATTGTTGGAAGGCACATCTCAGATCTTTTTTCATTTTCCCATACTTTTGCACACAGTAGGTACGATAAATATTTATTATTTTTAACTGTAAATAATTAAGGGTATGTATGTAATCATTAAAGAGTTAATTAAAATTTACTTCAGGAAAAATATTTTGACTTGGTTTAGTACTTTGAGATATAAGTTAGGTACTCTTCTTTTTTTTTTGTTTAAATTAAGTCAGGGAAGAAAAACTTTTCTTGGGAATAGGCAAGGGAAATGAGGGATTTATATGTTATAGAATTATAATTTTAGTGTTGGAAAGGCCCTTATAGATAATGACCTAAATTTTTTTTCCTCATAAATCTGAAATTTTAGGTATTTTGTGAATTTCTATTTTGCCATGGATACTGGCAGGCTGGTGGGTGGGGGATGTAGAGCTACTTAAATTACAAACTCACTACGCAGGTATTTTCTTAAAAGTCACTTTTTCCTGAGCCTAACCAGGTTTCTGGTCTTTTAAATAAGAAACTGTAAGTATAAGGAATGTAACTAACCAGTATCTAAAATGCTAGTCAGAATAGGACAGATTACGAAGCTGGACAAAAGCTACTTACTCTGTGCCACTTTCAACCATCTGGGTGAGGAGAGAGATGCCGTCTAGATTGATAAACTCCTGGGCGAACGTGACATCCCGGGAGAGGTAGGCCAAGTCTTTCAGGGCTTCCAGCTTGGCGTCCATACTCCATGACTGGATCCGTTCGTGGAGCTGCTGGGCAGTTTGAGCCTCACCAGGGGCAAAAACAAAGGGAAGAGTGTTCACAGAGGAAACCACAACCAACAACATAATGGATGTTTCATTGAAAAACAAAGATATGAAGGCCAAAAGTGCAAAGGCTATAGAAATATGGCAGACTGGGTATGTCAGAAGCTGGTTTCCCCATCACTTTGACTTCACCTTCAGCGCACGGTCCATTAATTTCATGGTGGAAATCAGTTGTGTTCTATTAACAGGGCCCATATTACTGTCTCAAAGAAAAGCAACAGCAAATGAACAGTCAAGCCCCAAAAAACTTAACAGGGTGTAGCAGAAAAGAATAAATAAATAAGCCAGTTGCCAATGAGTCAATTTTGAGTCATGGCGACCACATGTGTCAGAGTAGAACTCTGCTCCATAGGGTTTTCATGATTCCGCCCTTTCAGAAGCAGGTCGCCAGGCTTTCTTTCAAGGCGCCTCTGGCTAGGTTCGAACTGCAAAACTTTTGGTTAGTAGTCGAGGGCTTAACCATTTTCACTGCCCAGGGTCTGCTGGGTGTGGCAGCGAGGAGGGGAAAATAGAAAGGATGGTCACTATTTAAGTAAAATTACTGTTTCGAAGTGACAAAAAGCTATTTGCTTAGTTAAGCAATTATTCACATTTATACAGACGCTCGCCTGCTCAGTCAATACTCTGAGTAATAACTGCCAACACACAACCCTCAAAAGCGTCATTAGACACCCAAATAATCTTTCTGTGTTACTGAAAATCTTTGTCACTACTTCATAATGCTTGTAAAAGTCAATTTTCTACAATATGCTTTTCACGTGCTTTGGTTACTACATAAAATTTAAGCAAAATAATTAGGACACCAAATTAACAGCAAGGCCTAAAATCAGACTCCTCCTTTTTAAGGCATTTGGACTTGGCGTCTACACACAGGACAGAGACGAACGGAAGTTTATTGAAGGAGCTGAACTTCTGGATGATAATGTATCATCTATGTGCCCCATTCACACAGTAACCGTTTTCATATCCACTCTTCAGCTGGGGCAGGCAGTGAGGAAAATGTTAATTATTTTCTGCCTCTGTTTTTGCTAAATGGAAATTACTGTCTGAACATCTGCTGCAATTATTTAACTCAAAACCACAGTGGTTGAAGCACTCTGCCATCCTCATATTCTCCTTCTTGAGCACTGCTTTCACCTTTGAAACAGAGTGATATTTCAGACAAACGGAAAGACAGGGCATTTTGACCCCAGCATTTAGGTATCTCTCCTAAACAGAAACTGGGGAACTGCAGGGTGGTTAAAAATTTCTGAGGGGCCCTATCTGAACCCTAACAGGATTAAGATTACAGAATGGAAGCAGCAGATCCACCAGGTATTGACAGCAAAAGGACTCCCCTGAATGGCACCATGGCCAGGCCACAGCTCCTCCCTTCCACCTTTCACTGTCACCAGGAAGCAGCCCCAGGGTGGGAGGGAGGGGGAGGGTGCTTTAACTGGGAAAATGATCAACCATTCAGAGACCATGACAGGGATAAAACTCATGCCCCTATCACTTGGTCAGAGGTCTACAATTTAACTGGAGTCCCTGAGAAGTGCAAATGGTTAACATGACTGGCTGCTAACTGAAAGGTGGGAGGTTCAAGTCCACCCAGAGGCGCCTTGGAGGCGCCTGGCCATCGACTTCCAAAGAATCAGCCATTGAAAACCCTATGAAGCACAGTCCTACTTTGACATACTTGGGGTCACCATGAGTCAGAATAGACTGGAAGGCAACTGGTTATCATTTAAATAAAACAAAACATAGACACTTTGTATCAGAAATTTGAAAGGAGAGGAGAAGAAGGAAAGAGGAGGACTGGAACCACCCAAACTTGTCCACCGATTTCCAGATGTCTGACAAGTCACTCCAAAATGAAACAGCCATTCTTTTAAAAGGGGGAAGGAGGGGGGAGAGCTGACTAGATTCTTTTTATTTATTTTTAGAAATTTTTCAAAGATATACTATGTTCCAAAATTTTCATATGGATAACACGACATTAACATACAATATTTAACCCAAGTCACTCACTTTGAATTCCCTGAAAAATACATTTTTCTCCAAGTAGGAAGTCTGCATTTACTATATTGATTATGATAATAAAGAATACTCAAAAATTATTTCATTGTCATTATCAATGCTTATTAACTGTGCTTATACTCATAATAACATCACCTCCTGGTTACCTAGCACTTTTTAGGAACCAGTCCCTATTCTAAATACCTTCATGAAGTAATTCACTTAATCTGCCCAATAACCTTATCAGGTAGGTACTTTTATCTTAATTTTACAAAGGAAACAAGTAATCAAGCACAGAGAACTTAAGTAACCTGCCCAAGGTCACACAGCTTCTCAGTGCTGGAGCTAAGATCAAACCTGGGCTGTCAGACTCTGGAGAACATGCTCTACAGCAATGAATCTCAAAATTTTTGCATTCATTAGTCACAAGGATGCCTCACCCCCAGAGTTTCTAGTTCCCTAGGCTTAGGGTAGTTAATGTGCATGGCTGCTAACCCAAAGGTTGGTGGTTTGAGTCCACACAGAAGTACCTCAAAACAAAGATCTGGAAGTCTGATTCTGAAAAATCAGCCATTGAAAACACTGTGGAGCACAAATCGACTCTGACACACATGTGGTTGCATGAGTGGGGGTGACTCAGCAGCAACTGCTACTAGTGCTTGTAGGCCTGGGGTAGGACTCCCGCAATTGTATGTTTAATCAGCTCCCAGGTTCTGCTGCTGCTGCTGGTCCCTGAATCGCCCGAGAAAAACTACTGCTCTAAAGCGCTAAGGAGCCTGCATCTTGCAGAGACGATGGAAGGGGCAGCCCTGCTCAGCTGGGCACAGCTGGCTCTGCTCTCTGTCTTCTAACTACTGCCTTGTCTTCCCCAGCTAGGACACAAGGAGCCCCTCCACTGTTTACTGTGGCAAAAAGCAAACTTGCTTGCCCTTTACAAGTGTGCACTTTCCAGAAGGAAATTTTGCTGAGAAAATGAGAAGGAAAAAAAAAAAAAAGAGTAAGTCATACTTGGGGAAGGTAGATAAGTGGAATTTATTACACTTTTTTCCTACTTCTGCATGTGTTTGAAGTTTTACCTAATTAAAAGTAAAACACTAAATAAATAAAATTTAAAATAAAGAGAAGTAAAGAGAGACAACAATAGAATCTCAAAAAGGACAAGTGTCCCAAGGAAAGGAGTTAGACTAAATAGTCCCTGTTATGGATTGAATTATGTCTCACCAACATATGTGGACGTAATCCTGTTTGGAAACAGGATTTTTCTTTTGTTAGGTTAATAAGGTCATGGCAGTGTAGGGTGTGTCCTAAACCTAATCACCTCTGACTTATAAAAAAAAGACCAGAATAGACACAGATACACACATACACGTAAACACACAGAGGAAAGACAGATGCCATGTGAGGATTGTCTACAAGCCAAGAAACGCCAAGGAACACCAGAGACTACCAACAAAGAAGGAATCAATACCTACGAGACCTTGATTTGGACTTTCAGTCTCCAGAGCTGTGAGAAAAAAGTTTCTTCTCTTTAAAGCCACCCATTTGTGGTATTTCTGTTACAGAAGCACTAAGTAACTAAATCCCAGGTCTGCTAATGGGTTGGTGCTGTAGAAATCGAATAGATGTTACCAAGACAGTCACAAATCGGTATAGGAAACCAATACCCTGACTTGGAGTCCCAGCCAATAAAAGTAATAAACACTTCTCCAAGTTGTGTCAAACTGTAGTATTCATAGTTCATAGATGCAACAGGATGAAAAGTTCCTATGGAACCATTCATTCCTCTCCTGCACTCAACCCAGTACTTGAAAATGTTGTGTCCTCTGTTCATGGAGCTGTTTTATCCTTCAAGGAAGACATTGAACCTACACTTGGTATCATCATCTGAAGAGTCAACTCTTCATAAAAGTGTAGAGTTCCCACAGTGTTTGCTTTCAAGTTTAACTGTTCTTTTCAAGACATAAATGAACCTCTGGAGGGGCCATCTCATTAATGTGGATGTGAGTGCTGTGGGCAGCAGGTGGGCAGTGGGGAAAAGCTCACAGAGCTGGAAATGACACCATGGGGCTGCTTTCCGCTCTCTCACATGTCAGCTCTGGGGCCTTAATGAACTTCACTTAACCTGTCTTGGCCTGATTCTCCTCACTGGAAAACTGAGGCACTATGATACGTCACAGTTGATTCTCTGGAGGCGGGAACCCACACAGCACGGAGCCTGGCCACGAGCAGGTGCTCTATAGATGTGAGCCCCTGATGTGACCTCCAGTCCAAAGATGTCTAACAGGTAGGACATTTTTAGTGCAATATTTTTCCAGTTGGAAGCAGAACAAACAGGTAGGGATATGTATTATTATTATTTTTCTAACCTTATCTAGTTTCTAAATAACATGGACATAAAACTTTTATTAGAAAGATTAATGTGGGAATACAAATTTATTATAAAAAAATCGATTTTTTCAAGTTAATTTTTTTTTTTTTAAGAAATAGGTTATTGTAGAAGATTGCTCTACATATTATTTTACTTGGCCTATATTCAGACAAGTCCTTATAGTCATCTTATTTCCAGGCTATGGTGCTCCACAACAGAAGACAGAATCCTCATTCCTTGATTCAACAAGTATTTCCAGGAAGTTTGAGTCAGATCCTGCTCTAGACATTTGGGGTACAAAGACAGACAAGCTTCTCATTCCCCTTGGGTGGGAGGCAGACAATAAAAAAATATTAACAATAAAAAAAATTAAATGTTGATAAGTCTTACAGCAAAACCTAAAATGGGGTAGGGGGAGGTGGGGTGACAGAGAGTGGCTGATGACTTCTTTACATGAGGTGGTTTCCAGAAACAAGCTCTCTGAGGAAGTGACATTTATATAGAGATCTGATTGGCAAGAAGTTCATGGAAGGCAACAGATGGGGAATATTTTGGCAGCAGGAATGGTTATTGCAAAGGTCCTTCAGGGAGAACA